AAAAATAATGTATTCATTTATTTTGTGTATTATTAATATTGTTTATTACATTTTTTCAACTTATTTATAAATAATATAAGCATTAGTATACACTCCATTTGGTACTGTATTAAGGTATATATAATTGATACATAAAATTGATGGTATTTATTAGTAATCAAAGGGGGTTTAATGCACGTATTAGAATAGATCAAGACATAATTATCCCTCAAAAACCTTCTCTACACCCTTTTCAGTTTCCATAGAATTTGTGTTTGTAAATAAATATTCTTTTTAGAAATTATGCATTTCATGTTATTTCTAATACACTATACCAAACAAGACATAAAAAATATTTTTTGCATAACTAATGTTAGCACAACTTATACCAACATTACTAACACAACATATTCAACATTATTTCTATACACCTTTACCAAAAAATTCCTTACACATTGTTTGGATGGTTGTTACGTATTGTTTCATAATAGATTGTATTATATTGTACTGTATTGTATTGTATTGTGTTGTACTGTATCATACTATATTGTTTTAATGAATATAATATTTGGATAGATTGTATCGTGTCATTACATAATGTCACACATCAATAATTTAAATGATAAACCTACAAGAAAGTAGGATACGCAGTAGAGCTACTATGAAAAGGTAGGGTAAAAGATGAAATATAATTATGAAATAATAAATAAAGATAAAATAAGAAGAAAATGTTAATGTAACGACGTGATCACACCAAATCGGTCATTACATAAAATGGGTCTTTCCGCCGTTACCTAACGATGTAATTAAACGATACAATAAAATTTAAATAACAATGAAACCAAATATTGTATCTAAACTAACAATAAAATACAATACAATATAACGGGTAACAACCATCTAAACAAGGTGTTAATAAGAGGTCTCGGGCTTAAGCCTCTAAAAATGAAAAAAACTATATCGAAAGCATCATTCCTGAAAAAAGAATAGTATTTCATATCGAATTTAAATTTAATCGAGCCACGATAAAGTATCACATGTGGAAGAAAAAAGAAGCTAGTGGCCTGTGGTGGTTGAGTAATAAACAAGAGACACTTGGAAAGATTCATGTTAAATCGAGAAAATTATGAAAATGGAGGGTCCAGTTGGGCCAATAAACTGACATCATTTGATTTTCATGTCAATTTCAAGATGTCTTATATGCTCTTTATTATAAGTTATAAATATGTATTATTAGGTGTGATTGGTGAATATTGGGCCCTTGATAGAAATAGTTAAAGATGCTCTGCCGGAAATTGATTTTTTTAATGATCGGGAAACTTACAGAAATCTCACTAGTTTAGGAGCTAATTATTTAGGTATATTTTAATTTTATCAGATTTTGGTGCTTTCAGATACATGTATCTCGAGATATATGGAGTCAAAATTAGGTATAATTTATTTTAGATACACTATATATCCAAGTAGATTTGCATGTATCTGTGATACATAACAAATCTCGCTTGCTTTCCTTCTATCTCGCTTGCCACCCTCCTATATATCTGGTATCCTAGATAATGCAATTCATACCAGATACATGTATCTAGTGTGATTTGCATTTATCTGGGATTCATAACTATCTTGCTGGCCTCCCTCCCCATCTCGTTCTTCTCTCTCCCCAATTTAGTGTATTTGGTAGCAAAAGTACATGTATGCAGGTACATCTTTCTCAATATATAGTAGGAATAAACTTTTAATTAGTAGTAAGATACGTAATTATTTGATGGTATAAGTAGAATTAATATATATGGTATGGATATGTGTCTAATAAAATAGTTTCTCCTTGATCGTTTTAATCTACTCACGAAATTTAAACATTGATCGTATGTAGTAAGAACTCATTCATTCTTAATAAGAGATCTCAAATTTTAACCTATGAATTTGAATTAGTCAAAATCCAAAGTAGCAGATATCAGACACCATCTGAAAAATAAACAAGTAAACTTAGTTAATTTGTTGTTCAAGTATTCAGTTATAAGATCCAAAATTTTAGAAATGAAAGGCGAAAGGACCAAGTGATTATTAAAGATAGTATCTAGTTATCATCTACTACTATTTTTGTTTTACCACTAATAAAGCCAACTGAAATGTGGATATCAGACAGATCAACCAATAGTTATTGGACAAATATATAGAGAGAGAGAGTTTAGCTATAGTTCGATAAAGACATATTGTTGTTATAGGTAAGAAAAATAGAAAAATTTAGTTGTGGTCGTATCTTCCATTGCATACACTTCTAGTGACACTCACAATTTTGCTTGAAATGTGAAGTTGAATGCAGTGTCATATCTTAGTAAAACAATCATAAATTTTCCCTCACAAATTGGATTGACCTTATCTTTATATCGTCATATGGTTGGTAAGTTATTTCAAAGGGACAAAGTGTTATAATGAGGTATTGTTACGTGAGAATGTTGTTCTGTAGAGATTTGACTCTATAGACAACTAAATGAATTGTTATTTTGCATCAAAGAACCATAAACTTGATGCTTTAACTCAACTCATGAAGATCCATATTTAGTTAATAAGGATAAGAAAACAAAGATAATATGAACCTATCTTACATGAAAAGAAAATAAGAATTCTTACAATCAAATCAATTATCCATTAATATAAACATAATAAAGTAATTGAGATGAAGGGGAGAAAAAGAGTAGTGCTAATCAAAATCAACTCTTTTAAATAAACTAAAATATTTGCTATATATAATTATGACTTGTTGCCTAACCCTTCTAAACCACTTGTTTTTTTAATCAAAGAAAAAACCACTAAACAATAATCAATAGGTTTAGCACCAAGCCTTATTAAGTATGTCATTATTTTGATTAATGGACTATAGATTATCACAACAAGAAAATTATCAAAGATCCTAATCATTCTTTCATGTCATTTTCATTATTGTTTTCCTCACAAGTAACAAACATAATTAGGTGCTATTTCAGATATTTTGAGATATATGTTAATTAATCTCAAAGTAACCTATCTTAGTACTAAAAAACAAAGTGAAAGCAAACAATCAATTAATTCTTTGGATAGTCAGAGATGATAAGATGAATCCAAAATTTTCATATAAGTAGTATAAGGTACCAATATACTTACTATTAATATTGCTTTATATACAAGTGTGAACTTAGTACACAAATATATACGATATAGTTTATTTAATTAAATGTTCAATTCAAGTTGGAAATAGTAAGTATGATCGTACCTACCACCTTAAACATATAGGGAAAGTTACATTTTAGGGGGTGTTGGGTAAGATTACGGAAAAACAACCTAATTACACAAACATTCGTATCATATTTACTAACTCTTCCAACAATTTTAAAAAATAACATATTGTTTCACTAATTAATAATTTCATACTAAATTTTAAGTTAGGTACACCTAGATACATGTATTTCTTACTCTAAAATATATATATTCATAGGAAAAGAGGCGAGTGAGATAGGAGGGGAGCGAGCGAGAGAGTATGTGGATCTTAGATCCATGCGATTCACACTATATACATGTATTTGGGATACCTACTATATTCTGAAAAAACAAATACAAAGGAAGAGAGGCGGGCGGGCAAGACAATCAGATTCATGTGAGTCCACTTGGATATAATGTATTTATAACAAATTCTACCTAAATTTGACCCTATGTATCCCAGATACATGTAATTTCCTTTAATTCCTTCCATATTGAATCCAAATTTTCAATTCTAAATGGATTAATTACACATGAAGGTAAACACGTGAGATGTATTTATATACACAACTATAGTTTGAAAGAATTATGATTCATAACAATTGTATTCCATATTGGACACAACTTCTCAATTCTAGATGGAAGAATTACATACGAAGACAAGCATGTGATTTGTATTTGCTTTAACAACTATAGTTTGAAAGAATTATGATTCGTAACAATTGTAATTGTTAATACAATTATATTTGTCGATACAATTTGTATTTGTTAATATAATTGATACACTTGATTTTGCATCAACAAATGAATAAAGTAGACTTTGAAAAACTGTAAATTATTTTGTTTTCCCACCCAATACATTGGAGCTTGACTAAATTTGGATTCGCGTCGAAAAGTCCCACATTGGGGGGGGGGAGGGGTGGGTAAGGGGTAAAATGCTCACTAACAAAGGTGACTCTGTACCTAGGGGATATCGAACCCAAGATCTATGATTAAGGATGAAGGAGTACTTACCACTCCATCACAACCCTTGTTGGTCTTTGATACAATTGCATTAATTGTAACCATGATACAATTAGCGGTCAGATATACAATTATCGATCATATATACAAATCAATTGTAACTCTCTCGTCTCTCTCCTATATCTCCCACATCTCGCTCTCCTCTCTCCTTCCTCTCCCAGTCTCGCTCGTCTCTCTCCTCCATCTAGTAGCTTATTTTTTTTATACAAAACAATTGTATTTGTGATACAATTATCGATCAGATATACAACTCAATTGTGTTTCTCTCCTCTCTTTCTCAATGTTGCTTGCCTCTAACCTTCCTCTCCCAAACTCGCTCAATATTGATATAGTTGTATTCGATGATACAATTTTCATTGATACAAATTGTATTCATATACAATTTTCATTCTTTAATACATATACATACTAATTAGATTTATACAATTATCCAGCAAGTATACAAATAAAATCCTTAATACATATACATACTATGTACATATATACAATTTTGTCTAGCAGATATATAAATACAATTCCCCTCTCTCCTCCCTCTCCCAATCTGGCTTGTTCTCTCCTCCTTCTAACATGTAGCTACAAATCATAATCAAACAAACTACAACTATCGTGATTATGTTCCGGTCTTTGTTGTTTTTGAAATTTCCTTATTCTAAATCAGCCCAATATCACCCCAACCCAAAATTCACCAATATAAGCCCAATCCAAAATTATTTTGACCCGCCCACATTCCTTATACCCTAACCCTTTTTCTCTTTCTTCCTCACTTAAATAACACACTCCTGTAAACCCTAAACCCTAATTCCAAAGCCTCCGCCTTCAATCTTCTCGTCTCTCGGAGTTTCACTTTGTGGAGGTGAAAGTTCGTCGTCCTTCTAGAATCGCCGCACCGGAAAAAGGTAACATTATTTTTTATGCTTAAGTCTTAATAATAGATTTATGGTTTGAGTATTACTCCTTCTGTGTAGTGTTTTTTCTTAAAGATAATCCTTAAACACTTTGGTTACAGCTTCTTCCGGAGATGTTGGTATTGTTTGAAACACCGGCAGGTTTTGCCCTTTTCAAAGTTTTGGATGAGGGAAAGCTCTCCAAAGTTGAGGTATCATAGCATTCATCTCTTACCCTTTTTTTTCTTCTGTGTTTTCATGTTTTATATAATCGTTTTTTTGTGTGTTTGTTGCAGGATTTGTGGAAGGACTTCTCCTCAACTGATTCCGCCAGAAAGGTAATTTTTTTTGGACAAACCATTTGATGAGTTAATCGTGAAGTAGAAATCTTGGTGTAGCATGTTTTGAAATTTGGACATAAATTGTGCTTGTAAAGTTTTTAACTTTGTGTTTCATACATTCTTCATTTACTTGACTGGTTGGTATGAAAACAGGTTGTGAAGCTAAAAGCTTTCTCCAAGTTTGAGAACACCTCAGAAGCTCTGTCAGCAGCTACGTTGTTGATAGATAGCAAGCCCAGCAAAGGACTGCGCAAGTTCTTGAAAGCACACTGTGATGGTGAAACTTTGGCGGTTGCTGATTCAAAGCTTGGAAATGCAATTAAAGAAAAATTGGTCAGCTTCCTTCTTATGTCAGTTCATCGTTTTTTTTTGTTTTGGTTCTCAATAATTTTTTGGCTGAAGTTGGTGTGGGATGTGTGTGCAGCAAATTGATTGTGTTCATAATAATGCTGTCATGGAATTGATGAGAGGAGTTAGAAGTCAGTTGACTGAGCTCATTTCTGGTCTTGCATCTCAAGACTTGGCTCCAATGAGCTTGGGTTTATCTCACAGTCTTTCAAGATACAAGCTAAAGTTTAGCCCTGACAAGGTATATTGCTATAAGTTGACTGATTTTTCATGTTCTATATGGTTTCATTATGGATATTCTTACATAACAAATATTGGCAAATATTGGGATAACTGATTGCATGGAGAAAAAGGAAGGTTAGTCTAGTCTATAAAGTAGAAATATAGCGAATGAAAGGATCCTCCTCCACCTTCAATGATGAGGTTAGGGGTTCAATCCACCAAGGGAACATAGTGGAAAAGGACTAACCATAATTCCTGGGTAAGGGATTTGGGGCGGTGGCCTTGTAAAAAATTCAACTGATATGGAACACCACTCTGGTTTTGTATGTTCTATCTTGTATCCTTTCTGCTTAAGTTTCTTTAGTATTACTTTTATCTTAATTAATTTCAGATTGTAATCTGTTATTGGATATCATTATTCTATACAATTTCTGATGATGCTAGATGGCCATTATAGGAATTTTAGATAGTCTAAATTATTTGATTTCACCCTGAAAATTGTCAATTGTGATGCTTGCTTGAAGTTTAATTTGCAACTGTAACAGAAGGTCTAAAGAGTATAATTTACAAAAACATGGAATAATGTTCTCCATAAAGTATGCTCTGATGGTGGAACATTTAGGCTGGCAAATCTCAATTGTTTATGCAGCCAATTTTATGCTCATTCCATATGTAACCCTTATGATGCTTCACATGTAATTTGAGTAGTTACACTCTGTTTATGTGGTTTCCTGAAATCTGACAGTTTCTTGCCATTTGCGGTTATGTAGTTTCCTGTAATTCACGGAATCCTGGCAAAGTCTGTTTAGCTTGTAGTGGATAAGACTACAGTTCTTGGGCTATGCTATTGTGCAATGTATATCTGTTATGACTAACATATAAAAGAATGTTTTACAGTCTTACCATTTTCTGCCTCTTGAAGTTCTCTCTATAGCTCATAGATATTTTGATGAAAACTCATAGATCTGTTTCGGGGTAGCAGTTATTTGTCTAATTTTATATTCTTTACTGATTTGTCTCTTTGTTAATCATATAGCAGTACAACTGACTGTTTATTTCTTTTACAGGTGGACACAATGATTGTACAGGCCATTGGCTTGTTGGATGATCTTGATAAAGAGCTAAATACATATGCTATGAGGGTCCGTGAATGGTATGGTTGGCATTTCCCAGAACTTGCAAAGATTGTACAAGATAACATTCTTTATGCCAAGGCTGTGAAGTTGATGGGTGACCGTACAAATGCTGCAAAGTTGGATTTCTCTGAGGTAAGGAGTGGCTTCTTTTTAAATGTTTCAAATGAGTTGAACTAAAAAAGTAGATTACTGTTCATTCAGTAATATTCATTAGTTTGTTGGCTAGCTTGCTTGTTGGAATGAAGGTTGTGATATCTTGTAGTCCAATAAGCAATCTTACTTTTTACAAGATTCACGCTTTATTCTTAATTACATGAGACAAAATTCACACTTTTTGTATGACAATGTTCACAGATACTTCCAGAAGAGGTTGAGGCTGCATTGAAAGAGGCATCCATGATCTCCATGGGTACTGAAGTTAGTGATCTTGATCTGGAGAATATTAAAGATTTATGCACCCAAGTTCTGTCATTCTCTGAGTACAGAGCTCAGTTGTATGATTATTTGAAGAGCAGGATGAACACCATTGCCCCAAATCTTACAGCTCTTGTTGGAGAACTTGTTGGTGCTCGGCTTATTGCTCATGGTGGTAGCTTGATGAATCTTGCGAAGCAACCTGGAAGTACAGTTCAAATACTTGGTGCTGAAAAGGCTCTTTTCAGAGCTTTGAAGACAAAACACGCAACTCCAAAATATGGGCTTATATATCATGCATCTTTGATTGGACAGGCAGCACCAAAACACAAGGGTAAAATTTCAAGATCTCTTGCTGCAAAAACTGCATTGGCTATTCGATACGATGCTCTTGCAGATAGCCAAGATAATACCATGGGTTTGGAGAATCGTGCCAAGGTATTGTTTGTACTAATTATTGTATCTTTTTTTCAAACTTGCTCCTTATGTAGTCTGATTATTATTATCATATGCAACTTTTTTAGCTTGAGGCACGCTTAAGAGCCTTAGAAGGCAAAGAGTTGAGCAAATCAGCTGGGTCTGCTAAGGGCAAACCTAAGATTGAAGTTTATGACAAGGATCGTAAAAAAGGAGGGCTGATCACACCAGCTAAGGTTTGGGACTGTCTTTTCTTCTATGCTATACTTTCTTGGTTTGCTTCCAGTATTGACTTCTCCTTCTGTAGGTTTACAATCCTTCTGCTGATTCTGTTATGGGACACACTGAGAATGAGGAAAAGAAAATGAGTATAGATGATCAAACCGAGGAAGCAGCAGGTGAGGAATCCCCTGTTACTGAAGGAGAGAAGAAAAAGAAAAAGAAGAAGAAATCTGCTGAAACAGAGAATGGTGCAGAACCTGAAGACACTGGGAAGAAGGAGAAGAAGAAAAAGAAGAAACACGCAGATAATGAAGTGGAAAATGTAGAACTCGAACAAAGTAAGAAAAAGAAGAGGAAACACGCTGATGTTGATGAGGATGAATCAGTAACCACGGAAAAAAAGAAAGAGAAAAAGAAGAAGAAGAAAGCTGAAGAATAAGTATCACAGCGGAGACATTTTTAGTATCAACAATTTTGTTTTTGGGCATGGGCGGCGTGTTTTTAAGTTGTACAATGATGTCGTTATTAAGTTATTAGTGCTCTGTAATGCAACTTAGGATTCTGTTAGTTAAACACCATGCTTTTTAATCCTACTATGGATGTTTTATCGCTACTTTGGAATATTTGCTATATGCTATTTTACATGTTTTAAGCCACACATGATTTCAAGTTTAATAGTGTGCCACAATTGCGTTGTTGGTGAAGTGCCAAATTGCTGAATTATGCCTTGTTTCTATTATCTTCATGTTTGCTCTTCACTTCAATTGCATGAGGTGTTGTTATACCTTTTTCTTTTTCATTTGGTGTTTTGTTTTTGCATTGGAGCCACGGCTAAATTCAAATTGTGCATTCGATGGCCATTCTAAGGTGTTGCTTATGTGAAAGGTCAATCAAAATGAAGAGGAGGGAGGAAGAGGCCATGACTTAACATTTCATTTTTGAAAATGTAGTTTGCTTAAACCAAACTAGAAAGTACATATTTAACCACAATGATATGCTACAACAGAATAGAATTCTTTTTCCCAATGATTTTATTTGTAGAAATTGAAATACTAATAATTTTTCCAATATAGTGTGTGATTGAAAAGAAAAGTCATCTCAAAAAATTTCGAACACTTTTGAGAAAAGCCATTTCATGTAGCGATTTGCAATTCTTTGTAGGGGAAATTACGCTCATAAACAAACATATACTTAGTTAATTAGTTAACATAGTTATAGTTTGAATTAATTATCACTCACAATCTCTTTTTAGCTATAATTATGTGCACCTCTCTCCTCTCTTACTCTCTCTCGCCTCTTTCCTTTTTTATACATATACAAATACAAATTATACAAATACATATACAATTATATGACAGATATACATATACAATTCACCTCTCTCCACTCTCTAGCTCGTATCTCCTCCCTCCCCTGATCTCACTCTCCAGATATACAAACACATATGTATATCAATTACATATATACAATTATCTGACAGATATACATATACAATTGAGAGATATACAAATATAAATCACTTCTCTCCACTCTCTGTCCTCTCTCACTTGCCTCTCTCCTCCCTCTCCCAATCTCACTCGCCTCTCTTCTCCCTCCCCCAATCTCGCTCGCCTCTCTCCTCCTCCTCATCCTCCCTCTAACATGTAGCTACGAATTGTAATAAGCAAAACTATAACTATAAAACCTAATTAAGTTATTTTTAGTGGCTATTTGCGAAATTTTCCCCTTTGACTTTCATTTTTCAACTGAAGGATATTTTTGGCCCTTTTTCCTAATACAAAATTGAAAACAACATTATCTTTCGAATTCTTTTTTCTTATTTTAACTCAACTTAATAAGTTATTAGATGCTAATTTTTTTTTTTTTTGCCAATTTGGATTTTGGTCTCCATACGGTGCCATTAAATCTCAAAGCTCCACGCATCTGAATTCTCATCCTCTCATTCGTCTCTGCAAATCGAAATCAAATTAAAGTTTAGCAGATTTTCATTGAGCAGGAAGAAGAAGACGATGTCGTCTATTGGAACTTCAAAGGGTGTATTAGAGATAGTAAAGTTCGCAGTATACGTATCAGTTCCAATTGGTCTCATGTACATATTCGCCAACAACAACAAAAATCTTCAGAAAATCATGGGACATGTAAATTTCTCCTCTCTTTTTTCTCCATTTATTGTAAATTTTCCTTCTTTGTGCTTATATTTTTCTGGGTTTGTAGTTTTCTTGGGGTTTATGTTTCAGCTCGAGTCAAAATCTTTTTTCCAATCAAGCTTTGTTGTCTACTTTGATTGATTGTGCAGCTGATTTGTAGAAACGGAGAAATTGTTGGAGGGGTAGTTTATTGAAGCTTAAAAATTCAATCCCTTTTACCTTTTTGAATGAAATGGTCCCAAATAATAGATACATATGATTTGTATATTGGATTGATAACTAGTTTGACATTGAGCCTTAGCTGATTGATTGAATATAATCAGAGAGAGGAAATGTGAATCGCGCTCAAAACAGGTGTTTCTTTGTCTAGGGTTTTTTTAATTGAAGGAATTGGGAGGTGGGGTTGGGGAGTTTGAATGGTGAAGTCTTGATGCATCAGTTAAGTCAAGTGAGGTGAACACTATGTTCTTTCATAACAATTGAAGAAGATTACGTAAATTGGAATGTATTGTGTGATCTGTGTTTTGTAATTTTACATATGTGAGACAACAAGCTTGAACAAATTGTTGAGAAAGGTGGATGTATACCCTGGATTGACGAGTGTATAATGCAGAAACTTTTTGTGATAGGTAAAGTATGTATTTTTTGCATTAAGAATAGTCAAGCACTAAGCTAGTGCTGGCAGTCACAAAAAGGGTACGGGCCTTGCACTGGAGTGTATAATGCAGAACTAAGCAATGAAGAAACTGTGGAAGTGACTAGAAAGAATATACTTCTGCTGTCGCAATTTATATAATGCACTTTCCCTTTTAGTTTGTTGCAAAAAGTGTGATATCTTAGTCTATCCCAAAAAGAATGATACCGTTCTATATTTAGAAATAGTTTAACTTCAACTGCTTTATTTTACCTATGTATAGGCACACAAATATCTATGGCTTGTTTTAAACCACAAGTTTCAAAAGTATTTCGTTCTTTCTTGAACTACATGCCAACTAAACATCATCATATAAAATGGTATGGAGGGAGCATAAAAGAGGGTGAAAGAGCGACAAAGAGGAGAAAGTGTGGCATGCCGCTGAAACTAAAATAGCAATAAGATAGCAAAGAAGATGAGTAGAAGTGTGGGAAAGAGAGAGTTGTTGTTCCACAGAGGATTGACCATTTTGACATAGATTTTATGGATATAGCTACTTATTAGATCTTGCTTTCATTTTTGGATTTGGATAGACTATAATGTTCTTGGAAGATTCATAGGCTCATTAAAAGACTTCCACATGTTAATGGTTTCTGTACAGTTTGACATGTGAAATGTATGTCTGAGATTCTGGGCAGTAAAACTTTTACTTGAATGTGTTTCTTTAGGTGTTTGTTGGTTAAATCGGAAGGAAGGAATACACAGGAAATAGAAAGCCCGATCATTTCATTTAACTGAAATGAATTATTTTACCTTCCCAACCCTTTCTTTAACCATTTACACCTCTAAAGAAGCCAGCCACTATAAGTGTAGCTTGGCTATGAATACTAAGCACGCAACTTGTGTTATCCTCAAAATGCGATAAGTGCAGGCCAAGTATGTACTTTGAGTGGTGAAGCGACAATGGTTACAAAGATGTTAAAAGATGCCTGGATATTGTGAGGCTTAAAGATGATCATTTGTTCATAGTTAGTAAGATACGTCTTCTACTTTTGGTGGGTAGTATAGTTGGATCATCTATGCGCTTAGACCAACTATTTCTTTGTTTTACAGTTTACCTCACTGAAAATATATACTAACTTGTCTAAGCCGTAGTAGCATTATGAAGATCCATTCAGTTGTTTCTGGTGTCATACTGATGATGCATCCCATCTTCAGTGCTTCCAAATCTCCGAATATTTTATTTCAAACTGATGATGCATTCATAAACATTTTGCATTTTCTGTTTTAGGTTGGCTAAGTTATCTGAAACTTTATGTAGGTATGTTTTTCAGGGTGTAATCACAAATATTTTCAAGCTGCCATCAATAGCTTATTTTTCCGGTTTCATTTGTGTTCTCTTTGAAGTTAATAGTTATTATATGCCTGTGTAATTCCCAAGTCACGTGAGCCAAATATGTTCCACTGCTTTGGTGGTTTTGGTCCCGCATTGGACAATGTTTTGACATTGCAATGGCTTCTATAGCTTCTATAGAAGTACAACAGAACAACCACCCTTTTGTTGATAGACGAAGTGCTTCATTTCAGATCAATTCTTCTCTGCAATCTCTTTTGACGATTGCTGCCAAATTGACTTTCAAAGTTTGTCCCTCTCCGTTTCTCTCTCTCTCTCTGGTCTCTCATTCTAAGTTTAATCATAAGTTGTATACACAATTGGAAAACCTTGGGTAAGTCCCTGAAGTAAATAGGGAAGTTTCTTGACTAATAATGAATTCCTGAACTGACAAAGACCCAACTTTTTTTGAAAGGTAATGTTGAAAAACCTATTATAACTCCTATATTCTGGATTGATTACAATGGATTCCTTAAATAGATATTTAAGAAATTCACTGTCCCTTTCCACATTCGATCAGCTTCCTGCATATTTTAATCATAGTTACCACAACTGAAAATTTAGGAGCTGATAAAAGAAATCTCTCCGAGCATTATATTTAAAGGGAAAAAAGGAGGTAAATAGGAAACATATGGTCATAAGAGACCTAGTGATGTTTTACAAGCAAGGCTATTCTTGTGAGCTAGACTAGGTACGTTGGACGATGGAGATAGTTCAGATGCCATCAGCTTTATGATGTCACTTAAATATCAAAACCAATTTAAATTTAATTGATATGACTCCCCCCACCCCCATATATCCCCCATCCCCAAAAACAAAGAAGATAATTTGGTGGATTGGGTTTTATCACAAGAGAGGGCTTATGCTTTTCATTCTGGGCTTTAGTTATTCCTATTTCTCCTTGCAACCATTAGTATTCATTAAGATAATATTCATTTTTCTGCATTTTTTCTGATTTCCTATGGATTCAACTTCAAGTCCAGTTCAATTTCAGTGCAATATTCTATCAGTATGATGTAGATTTAGCTTGAAGCTACCTCAGTTGGAATTGGCTCTTCACTGAGAAGATGCTGTAACAACGATCATCTCCAAATCATATTAAATATCTGAATGAATTTATACCATGATCGGTGTTGTAACTCTTTGCAACACAGTTTCAATATATATCTTTGGCTTACAACTTCCATGTTTTTTTGCTTGTGAAGCGTGAATATGTAGTTTATCCTACAGAAACTGTAAGGCCCCAATCGCCTGAGGAACTGAGGGAGATTGCAAAAGAAATAGGTCGGAAGAGAGAGAGGGACCAAGCAATGCGGAGCTGAGGAAGACGTGCAACCCACAAAACGAAGAGGCGTAGAAGAATTTGTAGGTCTGTTAGTAATGCTTGCACAAAGGAACATCCAGAGTCCTTTCTGTTCAGCGAAGAGATGGATGTGCTTTTACTAGTGTTCACCAATAAGTGAGTTGTTGCCAATAAAACTGTGTAGCAAAGCCAGTGATTGTATTAGAAAACCCATCTACAAAGTGTTTCTCCACCTTTAATCACACTAGTTGTTGAAATGTGTGACAATCTCTTAATGAATATTCTAACTCCGCTATTGAGTTCGGCGTATGTCTTAGGGGCAAAAGGCCCTTCTTTAATATTTGACTGGACATAATTAAAAGGATGTCTACGTCTGTTATCTGTATTAGATGCATGGGTTCCACACATGGAAATTTCAGCTAACCTTTTCCCATTTAAAGTCTCTTTTTTCTTTTTTCTTTTTTATCTTTTCATATTGGTCACTTCTGCCTTCACTTTCAGAAATTATAATTTGTGAATACAAAGCAATTCAAGGGAAGCTTACGTTACACATTTTAACTCTTAAAAAAAAATGTAAAAAGCTATGTCCTTACACTTTAGCATATGGAAGCATTAAAGTAGAAAAAAAATTCCAATTTCAGTAAGTTGCTAAATTTTGAAATTGCATCTTTTAAAAAAAAAATATTTATAGAATTTTAAAGTCATAATCTATTAAAAACAACCTCTTTATCCACAGATACGCGCCCACAATGGCCAGTAAAAGAGAAGATCTTCCGTGAATTTTTTTTTAATGACGATGTTGTTCGTATTGGCCGGTGCAACATTCTACCAACACTTAAAGCAAACACAAAGAAAACGTTCAGAATTTTTTTATTTTGCCGGAATTTGAACTTAGTCAACAATGAATTTTAAAACTTCCAATATATTATTATGGCATGCTTCTTCCAAGAAAATGAGATGAAGAATTTTAATTTGTTGTGTTATTTTCTTGGTGTCCATTGACTTGCATGAGTCAATGGGTCTTTCTAATAGTATAATTAAAATAATGAGTCTTTTCTTAACTGATGAAAATTCTAGTCATCATAAGAATTTCCTTGCAGCTTGGAGTAGCAGAAAAAGAAAGAAGGTAACTTCTTGTTTTTTTCCTTTTTTTTTTCTTCTTCTGCACTAAAATTTTGAGATTTTTTGGGATAAATTGATTTGTAAAATCTTTCAAAACTCAAAGTAATAAGTTTCTTGTGAAGTTTATACCTTAATCAGCAATGGGGTTCTTCATTCTTGCTTCCAAATATTAAAAAAGGTGCATTTTCTCTGGATTTTCTATTTACTTGCTTGAGTTCATAATTCTTGAAGTTACAATTGTTAGGAAAGAGTAAGCCTTAGTAGTGATGTAGTTGTTAGTTATGTTGCTCAGACCCTCCAAAAATGTTGAACATTCATGTTCAATCCTCCAAAATTTTTTTTAGCTTTTTGAGGATCCGACAACATCTGGTGGTATTTTTGAAGAGTCAGAGCAACATAGGCTGTCGTAAAATTACATAATTGTTATAATTTTGTTTCATTTCCTTTGATTATCTTCAAAGTGTATAATTTGCACTCACTCAGCTCTTAGCTTTTCTTGAAAGAATAAAAATCCATTTTTTTCCAGGTAGAATTGAACTTTGTACACATTTGTTGAAAAGATTAGCATTTTTAGCTTCTTTTCTCTTGTTTATTTATATGAAAGTACCAAACTTTCATGAGGAATATTTACACTACTTTGTTGGTTTATGTAGAATCTCAGATTTTCATCTTCGGGAAAGCTGCTTAATTTGTCGAAAATCTGAAATAGTGATTAGTGAGTAGATTGTTGGAGTAGAGACAGTATGTTGAATGCAAAAGAACTTGCTTAGCTTTCATAGATTTAGTGATCAAGTCAGGAGAACAAGTGTCATTTGAATTTGAGAGTTGTATCGTAATGGCGGAGTTAGTTCCAATTGGGACTATTTTGGCTGTGATTAGTAGTCAAGTAATGAAAACCGCTCAAGCTGCGAATGATGTAGTATTTGAGAAGGAGAGTTTTAAGGTTCTTGGGAACTATCTTTTGGACATTGAGCCTGTCTTGAAAGAATTGCAGCTGCAGAAGTTAAACGAGTCCCCGGCTGCAAGGCAAGCTTTGGAATCCATTGAAGCTGACTTAAAGAAGGCTAATGACTTGGTTGAGAAGTATAAGAACCGAGCCCGTTTCTACTTGCTGGTCAAATGTAGGAGCATTGTCAAGGAGGTACAGGAAGTCACTCGGGATATAGGTAAATCCCTGGCCGCGTTATCCCTAGTCAACATGGAAGTCTTGTCAGGGATTTCAGAAGAGGTAAATAGGCTGCAGAATGAAATGCAAAGAGCTAACTTTGAGGCATCTCAGTCGCGGCTCCAAATTGTTAACAAGTTAAACCAAGGTCTATCGGATCAGATACATGACCAAGAATTTGCTAACAATATTCTTAAAGAAATAGCAAGGGCTGCTGGGGTGCCAGTGGAGCCAGCAGAGATAACGAAAGAGCTAGACAATTTCAAAAAAGAGAAAGAAGAAGCTGCTTATCGGAAAGAGAGAGCTGAAGTCTTGTTTTTGAACCAAGTCATTGAGCTTCTCTCACGAGCCGATGCTGCAAGAAATTATGAGGAAGTCAAAAGCCAATATTTCCAGAGAGTTAGCATTATAGAGGGATATGATCCTAGAGAAGAATACATTCAGCCATTTAAAGCTTTTATTTGTTGTATAACAGGAATTATAATGGTAGATCCTGTAAGCCTATGTACCGGTACTGCCTGTGAGAGAGCTTCTATCCAAGCTTGGTTTGACTCGGGGGAGAAAATTGATCCGGAAACAGGTGAAGAGCTGCAGGATTTGTCGATCAGGCCAAACCTCCAATTGAGACAACTAATCCAGGAGTGGAAAGAGCTCAACTATTGCATCATAATCAGGGCTTGCAAGGGGAAATTCCTTTCTGGAGTGGATGCATCAATTGAGGAGGCTCTTGCACAAATGCAAGAACTAATGAAAGCAAATTCGATAAATAAAGAATGGGTGACAATCGGGGGACTCACTGAAGTTGTCATCTCCAAGCTTGGCATGTTGCGTAACGGATATCTGCAAGATAAAGTGATGATTACGTTAAAGGACGTCGTAGATGGTCATGCTAGAAACAAGGTGAGTGAATTTCTTTAAATATCAAAAAAGAAAATGTGAAAGTAAGCATACACTCTCAGAAATGGCTAATTCCATAACTTATTCATTCATGTAATTCTGCTTTCACCTAGAATACTATGGCCTTTTACTTTTGTTCCGTATAGCCGTATCACATATATATTTCATGCAGGACTTAAGTATTTCGTCTGAAAAAAATGAACAGTAAGATTTTCGTTTAATTTCTCATTTAACTGTTTGCACTCTAGAATTATTGATTAGTTTATGCATTGTGCTGTGCTTTGCTTGTTGCTTGTGGTTACTAACATATGCTTGGCCTACTTTTCCATGCTTAGTTGTTTCTAAGTATAGGACACCAGGATAGTGAAGAACGGACGTCATGGGGATGGGGGTAATATATGGCTTATCAGGTGGATCATTTGATATCATCTAATAGGGACTACCGGAGTTAACAATGTTATTGACTTAATAATTTAGGTCCTATTTAGCGTTAGATTTTTGCTTTTGTCAATGTAGTTTTGGTCTTTGAGGTCACTTGTCCAAAGCAGAGTGTTGCATCCCACATCGGCTGTGGAAAGGAAAATTGGACTCCTTATATGGTCTCACACAATCCTCATTCCTCACCTCTTGAGCTATCTTTCGGGATTGAGTTAGGCCCGAGGTCCATTTCTCATGATGGTTTTCGAACCAGGTCTGTCCGTGTTTGGTCCCCATGTTATATAGTCTACGGAATCACTATCCATTTGTTATAATCCTGTCCTCGTGAATTAGCTTTTGGGGTTCCATTTCTTAACACAGAGAAAGATGTCTTTTCTAGTTTTCTTGAATTTCCCTTGTTTTTCCTTAAGCCCGGGGCTAGGATCAGGATGTATGAGCAAATATGCATCCAAGTCTTGCTTTTAAACATGCAAAGTCCTAAGCTTTGTTCCTAATCAAACTGTTATTCCATATAATTAATAGGACGTATTCGTTGAGAACCAGGGGTTTGAGAATGTTGTAGCATGCTTCGGAAAAAACTATGCCACTTCAACCGCTGCAATTGAGCTGATATATGAGGTTCTCCAAGATCAGTCTAGTTGGAACTTGCCTTACTGCCAGAAGCTTTCTCAGCAGTCCAATTCAATCTTGCTTCTCGTCTCCTTTATAAAAAATCAGGCCAGTCCATCAGCTGAAAAAGCAGAACAAATCCTGGCTAAGCTTTGTGATGAGGAAGAGGAGAACATTGTTAAGGTTGCTCGAGAGGGATGGTATGGACCACTTATCGATATGTTACACCATGGTAAGCATAGCTGCAACACTCTTATATATTATATGTTACAGTTGCACATGGATATAGATAATAATCTTAATATATCAGCTTAGTTCCAGCATATACATTTTTTTTTTTGAGTTTTATGTTTAGTTATATCGTTCAATTATCTTCAGGATCAGCATCTTCAAGAATGTCAATTGTTAGAGCAATTCTCGGTTTGGAACTCAGGGATGAAGATATGAAGCTTCTCGGGGAGAAAGGGGTTATTCTTCCTCTGCTTGAGATGACATCTGGAAATATTGAATCAAAAGAACTTTCATTATCTGCACTTGTGAAGCTATCAAGCTTTTATGACAATAAGATGCTTATAGCTGCGGCTGGAGGGGTTGCTATCGTTTTAAAGCTAATGATTTCATCCCATGTACGTTCAATTATCATCGCAAAGTGCTGTGAAGTTCTAGCTAATCTATCTGGCAATGGTGATGGAGTTAAGTTCTTGATCGATGAAACTGGAAACCAACTTGTACTAGAGCCTGTAATCGCGTACTTGCTGGCTTTTCAACAGAATCTTACATCCTCCTCGGACACTGTTCGTAGGCATGCTTTACGTGCACTATTAGGAATCTGTCAATCTCAAGCTGGACTTGTCAAATCAGCAGTTCTTTCTGCCGGTGGTGTTTCAGCTGTCCTTCCCCTTCTTGATGATCCGAACCAGGAAATACGAGAAGCAGCAATCAATCTTCTTTTCCTCTTCTCACAGCACGAGCCAGAGGGTGTCGTTGAGTATCTTCTTAAGCCAAGAAGATTGGAAACTTTAGTTGGTTTTCTTGAAAATGATAGCAAAGGTGATGTACAGATGGCTGCAGCCGGTTTACTAGCCAACCTTCCTAAATCGGAAACTTCACTCAGAGAGAAACTCATAGAATTAGGTGGCCTAAAGGCAATCATTAACATCTTGAAATCCGGTACCATGGAAGCTAAGGAAAA